TATAGACCAGGTGACTATAGGGGGTTCTTTATAGACCAGGTGGCTGTAGGGCGTTCTTTATAGACCAGGTGGCTATAGGGCGTTCTTTATAGACCAGGTGGCTATAGGGGGTTCTTTATAGACCAGGTGGCTATAGGGGGTTCTTTATAGACCAGGTGACTATAGGGGGTTCTTCATAGACCAGGTGACTATAGGGGGTTCTTTATAGACCAGGTGACTATAGGGGGTTCTTTATAGACCAGGTGACTATAGGGGGTTCTTTATAGACCAGGTGACTATAGGGGGTTCTTTATAGACCAGGTGGCTATAGGGGGTTCTTTATAGACCAGGTGGCTATAGGGGGTTCTTTATAGACCAGGTGACTATAGGGGGTTCTTTCTAGACCAGGTGGCTATAGGGGGTTCTTTATAGACCAGGTGACTATAGGGGGTTCTTTATAGACCAGGTGGCTATAGGGGGTTCTTTATAGACCAGGTGGCTATAGGGGGTTCTTTATAGGTCAGGTGACTATAGGGGGTTCTTTAGACCAGGTGGCTATAGGGGGTTCTTTATAGACCAGGTGGCTATAGGGGGTTCTTTATAGACCAGGTGGCTATAGGGGGTTCTTTATAGACCAGGTGACTATAGGGGGTTCTTTCAAGACCAGTGCCTGTAGTGTGTTTGTAAATAAATTGCCACATGAGGCAATGATTCACCTGAAGGTAATCTGGTCGTTGGCGGAGTGATACAGTAACGTGGGTCATTCACCTGAAGGTAATCTGGTCGTTGGCGGAGTGATATAGTACCGTGGGTCGTTCACCTGAAGGTAATCTGGTCGTTGCCGGAGTGATACAGTACCGTGGGTTGTTCACCTGAAGGTAATCTGTTAGTTGGTGGAGTGATACAGTACCGTGGGTTGTTCACCTGAAGGTAATCTGTTAGTTGGTGGAGTGATACAGTACCGTGGGTTGTTCACCTGAAGGTAATCTGTTAGTTGGTGGAGTGATACAGTACCGTGGGTCTTCTTCAAACACACGCACACCACAGGAGGCTGGTGGCATCTTAATTGGGGAGGATGGGCTCGTGGTAATGGCTGGAGCAGAATAAGTGGAATGGTATCAAATACATCAAACACATGGTTTGATGCCATTCCATTCACTCTGTTCCAGACATTATTATGAGCCGTCCTCCCCTCAGCAGCCTCCACTGACGCACACACACACACACACACACACACACACACAGACACAGACACACACCTCACATGACTGTTGTTAAAACGCTACCCTGACTGGACTCTCTGTCGGTCAGGAATTGGACCATAAATTCACTCCAAAGCATCATCCCAGGCCCAGCCAGGTGCTGCCCAGAGGTAGCATCCATACATTCTGTAGTAGTGGTGAGGTAGTAGTCTGGATCAGTTTCTGAAGCCTTCGTCTGATCTGAGAGTAATTGGCTCCAAGCTGTGAGATATGGTGCAGCCCTGCACTGCTGCTTCTTTGAGTTATATGTGTGTGTGTGTGTGTGTGTGTGTGTGTGTGTGTGGGGGGGGGGGGGGGGGGGGGGGTCACTCTGTGTGTGCATCCGTACGTCCGTGCGCGCATAGTTGTGTTCTAGAACTCACATAAATACATGTACAACAGGTCATTATTCGATGCAAGAGTTTTGGGTGTGTTTGGAAATGTTAAACTTTTTTATTTGACATTACTGCCGAGTTTCTTCTTCTCTGGAGGATAAATCACGTTCTTGAAGCCGGCTGGCCTGTTGGTGACTAACCTTGTAGCGCTTCCAATGCTGGGATTATAATTTATAAGACTTTCTTTTATTGAAGATTTATTTCAGAGTTCTTGGCAGGGCGTTTAATAGATTTCAGACCAATAAAGTGGAGTTTAGGCCGGCAGTGTGTGTGTGTGTGTGTGTGTGTGTGTGCAAGGTGCTGGTATCATTAAGAGCATGTGTTTGTTTTCCACCACCAGATTTTAAACAAGTGCTTAAATGTATACTGATTGATGACCTCATCTCTGTCACAGTCCCAGATGAGTCCCAGGGAGTGTAAGTCAACAGAACGACGTTCAATTGAAGACAGATTTGTAAAACTGTGTCTCTCGTAAAATGAAATGCATCTTACAGTTGTAAAAAGCTCTGGCGTTTTACAGTCAGACTTGAACAGACTATTTTGACAGAACCGAATATTTGTACTCAATAAAACAAATTCCTAACTAAGTCTTGACGTCTTAAGGCCAACTGAAGAAAATAAATGACAACAAGACTCTCAAATACAGGAAATAGTGTATCATTATGAATCTGAAGGCTATGCACTGTATACATTAGTAATCATTTACCGTTCCAAATGGCCTTTCCTTTATTCCATTAGTGGGATAATGCAGAGGAACCATTTTGTCCAGAGAAGTGATCAGCAGAACAGCAGGCGATCTAAATCTTGTCCCAAATGGCACCCTATTCCCTGGCCTATATAGTGCACTACTTTTAACTAGAGCCCTATGGGCCTTGGTCAAAAGTAGTGCACTACGTAGGGAATAGGGTGCCATTTGGGACGCACACTTAAGCAGCGCATTAGGGTCAGGGAGTTGGAAACAGAACTCCTTTGGCATTAAGGTTTTTCCAAACACAATTCACCACAGGACCCTGAAGCCTCACAAATGAAAAGCTTCCCTCTAAACAGCTACATATGGACTATTACCCCCGCCTTAACCTTTTCAACTCAGCCCATGACCGAACGCTGGGAAGGAGAGGAGAGCCAAGCAGAGGAGAGGAGAGCCGTCCTCTATTCACATTCAAGATCCTGGTAATGTGGGGGAGGTTCTGTATCTGGTGTTTTGGATGGGCATATCTATGGTGTACATGCAGGCCTGGTATTGGAGGAGATGTTTTGAGGAGGCTTTATGTGTTTTCTCTCTCTCCCCGTGTCTGTGTCAGGGTGACCTGATAGGAGAGACATAAGACTATAAAGGACATGTTCAAGGACTTTAACAAGATATCGCCAAGATTTCATTTAATTTCTGGGGCTTTCTTTATCTTTCTTTTTAGTTTCATTTTAGTTTCGATATCATAGGAGATTGGAGATTTTCTATGGAACATTTTCTATGCTTGTCAGTCCAGGAGTAACCTAGGCTTTAATGTGTCCTGGAAACCTGCCCCTAATGTTTTCTGTCAACACGTGAAAGTAAAGTATTCTATTCCAAAGTAATATGACCGGCAGAGATAGTCTCCATGGGAATATACTGTAGATAGCTGGGCCTTCCCTCTCAGTACACGTCTCCTATTTATTTGGCCTGCACGTAAACAACTATCTGAGTGGAGGAGGAATATCCAGCCTGATCCAACTATCTGAGGGGAAGAGGAATATCCAGCCTGATCCAACTATCTGAGGGGAAGAGGAATATCCAGCCTGATCCAACTATCTGAGGGGAAGAGGAATATCCAGCCTGATCCAACTATCTGAGGGGAAGAGGAATATCCAGCCTGATCCAACTATCTGAGGGGAAGAGGAATATCCAGCCTGATCCAACTATCTGAGGGGAAGAGGAATATCCAGCCTGATCCAACTAGCTGACGGGAAGAGGAATATCCAGCCTGATCTAACTAGCTGAGGGGAAGAGGAATATCCAGCCTGATCTAACTAGCTGACAGGAAGAGGAATATCCAGCCTGATCCAAACACACAATAGCATGGTCTCAGATCGGGTTGTGCTGTCTTGCCAACTCCATTTCTGTCACAGCAATGTGCTGGAGTTGGCAAGACAGCACAGACAAATCTGGGACCAGGCTAAAGCCACTGGCTTCCACCATAAACAACTAAATCTAATAGATGGGAGAGAGGCTGGGAGGACTGATGAGAGGCAGGGAGTAGTTCTGTTTCTGGTCAATTACGTAGTAATGCTTAATCAGGAATTATACTGATCTAAATTGGTCTGTGATGGTTTTCCAGAACTCTGGTTTAAAACACAACAATGGTGGACTGTTGTTCCAGTCTAGTTTTATCTCTGTAGCTCAGTTGGTAGAGCATGGCGCTTGCAACGCCAGGGTTGTGGGTTCGTTTCCCACGGGGGGCCAGTATGAAAACATGTATGCACTCACTAACTGTAAGTCGCTCTGGATAAGAGCGTCTGCTAAATGACTAAAATGTAAAAATGTAAATGTAATCTCTGGTTTAAAACACAACAATGGTGGACTGTTGTTCCAGTCTAGTTTTATGGTCATTTCACAGCCTCATTATTACTTTTTTGTTCTGCTAGTGTTCCCTGTTTAGAAACATCCTATTTCCTGTATTTGGTCAATACGTTGGAGAACAAAATAAATGATTTATTTTCTTCTGTCTTCTGCTGCTAAAATGAGTGTTATATCAGCTGTGAACTTGTGTCAGTGCTATCACACATAGAGTATCTCTAGAACTGTCTCATCATTACAGGTCATCTACCTCCTAGGTCTCTGTAAAGACGTGATCCACCCTCTGTCCAATCGAACTAAATTAAACCAGGCTCAATATGACCCTTATGAAATTACATTCCTGCTTAATCTATGCCTACCAGAGAAACAAGTTTGCAATAAATGTGTACTGCTGCTGGCGATGTTAGTTATTGTATTTAGGTTTATAGTGCACTACTTTTGACTAGGACCCATAGGGCTCTGGTCAAAAGTAGTGCACTAAATAGAAAATAGGATGCCATTTGGGACGCCGACATCACTAGCAGGTTCAAGGGTAATATTGGGGGATTTGGAAAAGACAAGAGGATTTAGAAGTGATTTAGTGTTCATTTTGAGTTGAACCAAGTCAAGTCCAACCGTTTGTCCTCAGGGTCTTTCATTAAATCATAGCAGGAGGGACTGGGACATTAAGCTCCAACTCTACTCTGCTTTCATCCACATGGAACACTGAATAAACACTGAAGCTTGTTATTTTCCGTTTCTTTACTTTGCTAACTTGCCAGTTCTAGTTCTGTCTAATGACCAATATTTCTCCACTTCATTTTTCATTAAAACTTTTTTATTTTTCCCCCGTCAGGTTAGATGCAAGTCTGTGACACTGCTACACTGTAACCATGGCCCTCCTATCCTAAGCTAAGACTCCAGTGACTCCAGTGGATGTTTTGAGGAAAAAGAAGATGGAGGATCTTCGCTCAGAGCATGTAGCTGACCCTCCTCAAAATGGAGGGAGTAGTGGAGGAGGAAGAGGTGGTGGAGAGGGGGTCGGAAAGGTAGAGAACACTGTCACCCAGCTGATTACAAGCGAGGCCTCAAGCATCGGCTCTCCTGCCCAGGCTAATCAGAAACCAACCCTTTCACATATGGTAAATATCCCAGCGTCCCCCACCATGGTCAGCCCCAGCGCCGAGGCTCCAGAAGGGGTGGCTCTCAAGGTGGCTGCCACTGTGCTTCAGCCTTTCTGTCTGGGGGACAGTCCTGTGATGCTGCCCATCCACCCCCTCCAACAGATGGCTGGAGGAACCGCTCCCCAGGGTATCCCTCCGTACCTCCTGACCCACCAGGGGCCTCTCTCCCTAGGCTCCCTCTCCCAGGGCCCTGGCCTCTCCCTGCCTCTGGTCCTGGAGCAGCATGTGTTCCAGCATCTGAATACCATGGGAGCGATGCTCCAACAGACTCCGCCCTATCCTTCCCTGTCCTTCCTCCAGAACAATCTGCTGTGTCACACCCAGCCTCAGACCTCTTCCATGGCTTCATTGGCCTTCTGCCAGCCTCCAGCCCTGGATCAGAAACTACCCGGACCTCCAGCCCAGGACCCAGGTAATTGTAATGGCATATAGTAATTCAGCTGTCTACTATTGGTGTGGAATCCCTCCAATTGTAGTAATTCAACTATTCTCTCTCTTTCTCTCTCCTAGGTATTCATGCCCTCCTCCAGAACCCAGCGTTCGCTGCCCTCATACAGGACCTGTTTTCTGCCCAGACCAACCCCACCTCCCCATCCTGTCACCCAGCAGGATCAACCCCAACTGACCCCTTTGCTTCAGCCTCATTCCCCCCATCCCAACCCCAACCTCCACCCCTCTCCTACCCCTACAGCTCCCCGCTAGCCCCCCTGGTACCCCCTGCCACCCTCCTGGTCCCCTACCCTGTCATTGTCCCTCTCCCTGTCCCTCTCCCCATCCCTCTCCCTCTTCCTATCCCCGTCCCACAGAGACAGGAGTCCAAAGGATTTTCTGAACCCTGTAAACCAGCCTGTATGATGACTAAAAGCACACAGACTAACTCTGAGGAGATTGTCAGTCCTCCACCACACGGTAACATTATGACTCTTTACCCCATCCTCTATGGCCTCTCTGTCCTCTGTTGCCATGGTCCCTGAGGGGGAGGTGCTTGACCTATCATTGAAAGCCCCTCCCATAATCCAACCAAAGCAGGAAATGGCATTTCAACAACACGATGACACTGTCCTTGACCTGTCTGTGGCTAGTAAACAGACTGTCAGTAGAAAAGAGCGTCCTTCATCGCGGGACTGGCACACTTCTTCCGAGGGTACCGCTACAGCTTGGCTCCCTTCATCCGAGGGCACTACATCTGTGTCTCCGGAGGTCTTAAAGCCTGCGGAGTGCACTCAGAAGCTCCACCGCCACCCTAACCTGCTGAACGGTGTAACCCATGTAGAATTCAGAGGCCGGCGTCAGTGGGCGGTGGTGGATGGAGGTGGCAGCAGTAACAGACCCAGCAGCGAGCCCAAGTGCAGTAGCAGCAGCGGTAGCTCTAACTTTGAGATCTTTCACACCTCTCAAACAGCCAAAGTCATCGTGGCGGTCAAAGACGCGATCCCCACCACCGCCATCTTCTGTGGGAAGATCAAGTCTCTCTCTGGGGTGTCCAGTAAGAGCCTGTCTATTAAACAACAACAGGACTCCTCCGGCCACACGGGGGCGCTGTTACATCAGTGTTACGGTGCTCTGCCTCTACCCAGAGGACACCATGTGGTGGAGCAGAAGGACCCTAACCTCCCCAGGAACAGACAGGCCATCAAACTGAAGAAGGTTAGTTCACAGGAGATCCACATCCTCCCCATCAAGAAGCAACGCCTAGCCGCCTTCTGCCCCAGGAAGTAGAGAGGAGTTAGCCTGGTCCCAGATCTGTTTGTACTGTCTTGCAGATCTGGGACCAGGCTGGAGCGTGAAGTGTCATTGTTGAAATGGGATCGAATCCCGGGTCAGACAGACAGGGCGGTCTCTGTTACATAAAGGAGGTGGTGATGAGGTGAACTATCCTTGACCGAGACCTGAAGACTTAAGTTAGCTCCCCGAGCTTTGCTAATGCCTAGGCTTTAGCTCAACAGGCTAACACACAGTCTTTACTGCTAGCTGGTTGACAGAAGTTACAACGCATTCTTCTGAGACATTGGCCAAGTGCCGTGACTACGGCAGATGATTGGGGACAATCTTCATGGCATTTTATTTGCTTGGCATGTACATTATCTCTTCCATGTGTTGAGAGACGGAGGACGACTTTGTTGCTGTAGTGTTGTAACTGTATTTGTACTTGTTTGACCTTTTTACCTTAGAAAACATTCATGTTTAATTCCTCAGTACAGACTGTTAAAAGATGACTTTCTCCTTTTACAAAATGCTGTCAATTCACAGATGAAATGTGGATGTCCATCGTCTACTACTTTCCATGTGAAACGTCCATTTGTTTCTGCTTTGCTAGGCCTATACAGTATTTAATATCTGACTGAGGATCTGACACTTAGCCAGTCATTTGATGGTTCATGTTTGTATGTGATGCAGTTGTACGGAAATTCAGTTGGGAAAAATCACATAAGAATAAAAGAGTGTTGTTGTTGAGCTTGATGCCCCTTTGTCTTAACATCGCAGTTACTCACTTATTATTAAAGGGACACTTCACTTTTCAAATGATTAAAAGGTCATGCTTGTCAACTCTCATGAAATGAGGCAAATGGTGAAAAAAAAAGTTTAATTGCGTGAAAGTACATATGCAAATATTATTTAACAAACAAGCATTTTCCAGTACCGGTACTTGAAAAAGGTTTTGTTTTTCTAGTATATGTACACTGTGTGTTGTTTCTATGGAACAATAGATGAAAATGTAGAATCTTAAAAAATATATACAAAGTTGATCTAAAATATTGTCAATTGCAATGAACTTACAGCAAATGCTACTATGAAGAAGTCTGTCCTAAAACACAAAAGCCTAATAAAACCTGAGTATCACAATAAAGCAAGGCCGTTTGAACTATTACCATTCATTTAAACTAAAAGCGTTCACATAAAATTGCAACTACAAAAGATTGTTTTGAATATATGACTTCTGAAATGTTCCGAAATGGATCACTTCTTCTGCCACAGTGACCAGATAAATACTAAAATAAGAGATATTTTATTATTATAGGTTGTTATGACACAAATGAATCCCATCCACATCTCTTTTTGCTTGTGTTAAATCCCAACACTCCATATCCTAGCCTGTTGCCAGACTCCCACACATCCTTGTATCCAAAACATGAAAAAAAACATATCCTGAACATGAAACATGTGAAATACATATCAACTGTGTATTTGGTGCTTGACAACCTTCAGACAACTATCTACATTTGACGGCTATGATAGGAAATGAGATGAAGGCCATACACATATTGCAATCAATGTTGAGCTTGGCTAGCATCGATAGTTCTCTGATGGTGTAGCCAAACAAACACTTATTAGACAGGATTAAACACAACCTTCCTGTATGTATGCAGAGATTAATAATACCTTTTACAGACAGTACAAAATCCAAGATATAAAAAAAACACATCCTTTTTGGCTTTTTATGTAAAACACAGGCTTTTTGTCTGATTCTTCAAACATACTGTAAGTCCACCTTCTTCTTTTACAATAAGACTTTGACTTGAACAGGAACTTCCCGTCTTCATTGTCCAACGTATTCTAGAATCTACACGCAGCAGAGGAATGTGTGAATGTCCAATCACAATCATAGACCCTGGTTAGAAGTTCCATTGGCCAATCCAAAGAACGATCAGTGTTCCAAAGACTCCAGATTATGTAATGTCACACCCTGAATGCACTAAGGAGTTTGGACAAATGTGGTGTCCAAAACAAACAATGAATCTTAACAGCATGGTACATTCTCCTTCTCAAAGTCCTTTGATATTGAAACTATTAAAGAATCAATCACAGTATCCATATAGAAGCTGAATGGTTGATATGTTATTGCAATGAGAGACTAATGAAACAAGCGGTAGATGCCATCAGGGGTTGGGTGGAGATAGCTCCTTACATCTCCAGGTCTCCACGGCTGACAGTAGCCTGGTCTCAGATCTGTTAATTCTTTAAAGAACAATCTGGGAACAGGCTAAGGTGGTAAGGGGTGAGAGAAGGTGTGATGGACAATGCATAGGTAGGTAAACACTCAACATAATCCTTTGGGATTCAGCTGAGTCTGTTCGAAAGAATAGTATACTGAAGTTTGTTCATCCTGTTTCTCTGTACTGACGTTCATACTGTTTCTCTGTACTGACGTTCATACCGTTTCTCTGTACTGACGTTCATAGTGTTTCTTTGTACTGACGTTCATAGTGTTTCTCTGAATGCTCTTCATCAGAGGATGAGGTATGAGGGTCTCTGCAAAGGAATGATTAAGGACTCATTGTGCTTAGGGTTTCACAGCAAAGATGATCAGCCCATTCTAGTGTGTGTGTGTGTGTGTGTGTGTGTGTGTGTGTGTGTGTGTGTTACTGTTTGGTCTGTTTGAGCCTCTCGATATGGTGACACAGCTTGAGGGCGGGGCCTAGCTTCAGACCCATGTACTTCATGATGATGTCACTACGTAGAAGCATCAGCGCCTTTCCATCAATCTCCTGAAGACAAGAGACAAACACAGTCAGCAAGAGGGCTGACACCAACACAGGACAAGGTGACAGCCAAGATGGCCCAAACATCAAGGATTTTTAACTCTTCTAAATGAAGTAGTTTTTATATTTACTTTAACAGAGAGGTGCACCTATTTTCCCCAACACAGAACCAACACAATAACAACATTATTCTCTCTGAGCTGAGATGACCAGACAGACATCAACAGAAAATTCCAAACAGAAATTGTCTGGCGTTGTACTGTAAACATTCACTATGTTGTAGATCTCCTGTATGGGTTAAACAGAGTTGGTTTTCCTGGAGGGAATGAAAGTGATCCTCTCCAGACAGGTAGGGAAGGTTCTGAGACAGCCTAGTGCTAGTCTCCCAGGTTATAGACTAAACACTGAGGACACAGGCCATAGAAATAAAATGAGAACACTGTTATAAATCTGTCTCTGTGACACAGGCATCCTCCTTTTCTGCTTCCTGCTTCTGACAGGGACATACACACAGCAAGGAGGGCTGGACCACATCAGAACCACACCAAACATAACAACATATCCATCTCAATAGGGAAACATCAGGCCTGGACCCGGCACTTAGACGCACATCTAGGGTGCATCTCAATAGGGAAACATCAGGCCTGGACCCGGCACTAAGACACACATCTAGGGTGCATATCAATAGGGAAACATCAGGCCTGGACCTGGCACTAAGACACACATCTAGGGTGCATATCAATAGGGAAACATCAGGCCTGGACCTGGCACTAAGACACACATCTAGGGTGCATCTCAATACTTTAAAGTGTCTGCCTTCCCTTGTCTCCTTTCCTTCATCAGCACTGATGCACCAAAGGAAGAAATACAATACAAAGTCCTTTCCTCTTGAAGGACAAGAAACGTCATCAATCAATCAATAAATCAATCAAGCTCCACTCACGTGTTTTCTGAAGAGCTCCACATGGGGTCCGAGTGTTTGGGGGTCGGCGTCGTGGACAAACTGCATCACCTCATCCACAGACCAGGAGGAAGGGGGGTTCCCGGCCCAGTTCCCCGCTGCAGCCTCCCGGTCTGCAGCCGCCAGGTTGTCAGGACCTGTGGTGGAGCTTGCAGCTGGAGAACAGAACACACAGGCAGAGCAGCCGAGAGTCAGAAAGATGTTCAGAATGACAACAAATATTCACCTCTCTATTTAACCACCATAAATACCAACCCTTTCAGACTTTACATGGAAGGTACATAGTCCACTAGGTGGCAGTGCTATACAACATCTTTACTGCCATCTGACTTCCATTAAAATCGTTCTAATAAAAATCAAATAAAAACACCCTTGCCTTTCTTGAACTAACTTGACTTTTCTTACTAGCTTTGACTTTGCTGATTAGCTGCTTTATTGAGGGAAAATGTACTTACTATGACTGTGATATGTGGTTGTCTCACCTTGCTACCTTAAGATGAATGCACAAATGGATAAGAGCTTCTGCTAAATGACTAAAATGTTAAATGTAATCTGCACCAACACAGGAAGCCTAGCCCAAAAATAGACAAAAAAATCTACATTCAAACAAACGTAAAATGGCCAACTAGAATCTAGAGGCACACACAAGGCCCGCCCAGCCAGCCCAGCCAGCCAATTGGGGTTCAGCTCTTACAAGGCCTACCTTCCACTCTTCTCTGTAGCCCTCTGGACCCCAGGTCGGAGGGGTTGGAGGCCAGGCGCCTGAGGGGTGGTGGTGGGGGGTGACCAGGGCCAGACCCAGGGTAGTAGGGGCTGCTGGACCCATGGCCACGGTACTCTGAGGTGGAGCGTTGTGTCAGGGGGGCGAGGGGTCATGGACGGAGAGGTGGAGGAGGTGTCCATGGGGTCCTCGGTGAAACCGTTCTCACCGCGAGGAAGGGGCTCTGATGGAGGGTAAGAAAGGTAGGATCTTGAGCGCATAAACACACACACACACTAACACATAAATACACACCCACATAAATACAGTGTCACACACACAAACACACACACATTAATTATTAAAGTAAAATGCCATCTAATAATGTGCCATGAGAAACCAAACAAGTGTTTGGTGATTAATCATGAAGTGGTAGCTTAGCCGTTAGCTGCTAGGTGATTGGTGTTTAATCATGAAGCGGTAGCTTAGCCATTAGCTTGTAGGTGATTGGTGATTAATCATGAAGTGGTAGCTTAGCCGTTAGCTGCTAGGTGATTAATCATGATGTGGTAGCTTAGCCGTTAGCTGCTAGGTGATTGGTGATTAATCATGAAGTGGTAGCTTAGCCCTTAGCTGCTTGGTGATTAATCATGAAGTGGTAGCTTAGCCGTTAGCTGCTTGGTGATTATTCATGAAGTGGTAGCTTAGCCGTTATCTGCTTGGTGAATGGTTATTCATCACGAAGTGTTATCTTAGCCGTTAGCTGCTTGGTGATTAATCACGAAGCGGTAGCTTAGCCGTTAGCTGCAAATGCAATTACATTGAACAGTGGCAGGTCATCAATATCTGTACAGTTACTAAGACTTAATTAATAAACTATACAATCTGAGGTTTTAATGAATCAAAAAGCAGTTGTGCATTAAAGAAAGTGTTTCAATAATGTAGAATCAGGAGGCAATGAGAAGGAAGACGATTGGCGTCCTCCACAACTATCACTCTACTGAGGACACAAGGAAGTGGTTATTTTTGTTAATTCAGTAGAGTGGTCCTTCTAGTTAATCACAGTCCAACACTGGGCTGTATCTTAATAGTGTAGAGAGGCTTCCACTCCTCATCTCTTTTCTTATTAAAGAACTGGACAGGTGAAAGTCAATTCCTGGGTAGCTATCCTCCATTTAGTTTTTCCTTATCCTGTATTTTGTGTTTATATATCAGCACTGAAGGAGACGAAATGACAAAGGAAGGAGAGGAGGTCACTTCAAACTATTGAGATGCACCCCCAGTGAGTGCACCAGGGGTAGCTCTGAGGCTGAGGGGTGTAAGTGTACCTTCTGAGGGGTGTGCCTCTGTGCTGTGCAGCCGTTTGGAGGAGGACAGGGGGGCAGGGTAAAGGTTAGAGTCCCTGTCTCTGTCCATCTGGAAGCGCCTGCTCCTTCCTACGGTGTTTCTGGCTATGGACAAGGCCTCTGACATCTCCTCTTTGACTGAGGACAACAGAGGAGAGGAGAGACAAGAGATGGCATCAGTTACTGCAAACTGAGGGCCAGTGGGTTATTTCTATAGACCTGTGTTTTTTGGGGTCTGATGTTTCATTTCGGTCAGTGACATGTTGAAGGAAATTCTATGAAATGATGGATGAGCAATGGAACATTAAAGCAATAGCCACAGTTTCTAATGTGACTGTTGATGGTGTATGTCGATGGAAAATAAATGCTGGCTTGTGACTTTGTGACAAAGAAATTGAAAAGTTCACACACACACACACACACACACACACATCATGGTTTGCAGGCATTACCTGACTTGCCCTTGTCATAGGCTGTGTGTCCAGCGGAGGCCATGAATGCAGGGCTGAAGGGTTGGGAGGAGAACAGGTTGTCACTCTGCAGCTGGTGACACAGAGTCTCCATGAACCTGAGCACAAAGGAGGCAGAGGAGGCCTGGGGCAGCTTGACATAGTGGATCCCCCCATCAGACCGCACTGCAGGGTGGGAGACAGAACAGATAGACACAGTCATATGGTATCTAGCTGATTAGAGGCACTGAAGGCCTGGGGCAGCTTGACATAGTGGATCCCTCCATCACGACACACTGCAGGGTGGGAGACAGAACAGATACTGTGGTAGTTTCTATCTATCTAAGGAGGCCTGGATTAGCTTGACATAGATGATCCCTCCGTCACTACGTACTGGGAGAGGGTATACAGCATCCGTCAGTGTTGGACTAAACCAGAGTCCACTGAAGTCATTGTTCTGGTGCTGTGGTTGTATGTATCTGGGCTGAGAGAGGCAGGCAGAGGCACTCAGCAGATGGAAAAATGACTGGCTTTACCACACATCCATCACACAGGAGCCCTTTACCTAGCTGTTGAAATGCTATATATGTTAGGGCTGGGAATTGCCAGGGACCTGACGATATGATATTATCACGATACTTAGGTGCGGATACATATGTATTGCGATTCTCAGAATTCTATATGTATTGCGATTCGATACTGTGATTTTATTGCCATTCGATGGTCCAATCATATTGCTCACCATATATCTGCTGCAGAGGAACAAGAGTGAGCCATGAGAAAAGGAGTTTTGATCAGTCGTGGAAATAAATGTGATGAAAATATGTTGGTTCAGTATTGAAAAAGAAGATGGAGAACAAGCTATGAAGGGAAAATACTGGCGTTTTGGTGCAGGTACTGCCAACTAGCGCAAAAATAATATTGCGATATTGTCAAAACGATACATTGTCAAAAATAATATCACGATATGTAACTGTATACATTTGTTCCCCCATCACTAACTACATCTGTATCACCAATATAATTATTTAAAGATCACTTGAGCAGACATGATTATTTGGTTTATATGGCGCAGTAACAGACATGATTATTTGGTTTATATGGTGCAGTAACACATGATTATTTGGTTTATATGGTGCAGTAACAGACATGATTATTTGGTTTATATGGTGCAGTAACACATGATTATTTGGTTTATATGGTGCAGTAACAGACATGATTATTTGGTTTATATGGTGCAGTAACAGACATGATTATTTGGTTTATATGGCGCAGTAACAGACATGATTATTTGGTTTATATGGTGCATTAACAGACATGATTATTTGGTTTATATGGTGCAGTAACAGACATGATTATTTGGTTTATATGGTGCAGTAACAGACATGATTATTTGGTTTATATGGCGCAGTAACAGACATGATTATTTGGTTTATATGGTGCATTAACAGACATGATTATTTGGTTTATATGGTGCAGTAACAGACATGATTATTTGGTTTATATGGCGCAGTAACACATGATTATTTGGTTTATATGGTGCATTAACAGACATGATTATTTGGTTTATATGGTGCAGTAACAGACATGATTATTTGGTTTATATGGTGCAGTAACAGACATGATTATTTGGTTTATATGGTGGAGTAACAGACATGATTATTTGGTTTATATGGTGCATTAACAGACATGATTATTTGGTTTATATGGCGCAGTAACAGACATGATTATTTGGTTTATATGGTGCAGTAACAGACATGATTATTTGGTTTATATGGTGCATTAACAGACATGATTATTTGGTTTATATGGCGCAGTAACAGACATGATTATTTGGTTTATATGGTGCAGTAACAGACATGATTATTTGGTTTATATGGCGCAGTAACAGACATGATTATTTGGTTTATATGGCGCAGTAACAGACATGATTATTTGGTTTATATGGTGCAGTAACAGACATGATTATTTGGTTTATATGGTGCAGTAACAGACATGATTATTTGGTTTATATGGTGCATTAACAGACATGAACTCCTGAGTGGCGCAGTGGTCTAAGGCACTGCATCGCAGTGCTAACTGTGCCTCTAGATCCTGGTTCGATTCCAGGCTCTGCCGCGACCGGGAAACTCATGGGCGGCGCACAATTGGCCCAGCGTCGTCCAGGGTAGGGGAGGGAATGGCCGGCAGGGATGTAGCTCAGTTGATAGAGCATGGCGTTTGCAACGCCAGGGTTGTGGGTTCGATTCTCACGGGGGGCCAGTATAAAAATAAAAAAAATGTATTCACTAACTGTAAGTCGCTCTGGATAAGAGCGTCTGCTAAATGACTAAAATGTAAAAATGTAATGTTTATATGGTGCAGTAACAGACATGATTATTTGGTTTATATGGTGCATTAACAGACATGATTATTTGGTTTATATGGTGCAGTAACAGTCATGATTATTTGGTTTATATGGTGCAGTAACAGTCATGATTATTTGGTTTATATGGTGCAGTAACAGTCATGTTTATATGGTGCAGTAACAGTCATGATTATTTGGTTTATATGGTGCAGTAACAGTCATGATTATTTGGTTTATATGGCGCAGTAACAGATGTCCCAGCATCAGATGACCCCCCCCCCCCCCACACACACAGACTGGGACCCTCCCCCGGGGAGCCCCTCCAAACCAGGTTATGCACGCATGTCGCTTCTCATTACCCCCAGACATATGACATCAGTTGCTGCTGCACACACACACACACACACACACACACACACACACAGACAGACACACACACACAGACACACGATCCCACCAGGCATTATCCAGTGCACCATGTGGGTCCTGCAGCCTAAACCAATTCCTACTGCCTGATTGAATCCCTAGCCTACCCCCATATTCAAATGTGGAATTAGGAACTATTTGAATATGTAACCCTGTCTGGTCTAGAGTAGACGGTCTCCTGGGCGGTGTGCTCTTCCGACTTCTTCAGCATGTCATTACATCACTGTAGAGTAACAAACCTAGTGTTGCTGTCCAGTGAGGTTTGGACCATCTGGGTTTGGACCTGGTTCTCCGACACATCACAGGACTTTGTTAGCGCGCTGAACTAAAGCCTACAGGCATTAGCATGGGGAAGCTAACAAAAGTCTTCAGCTCACAGGCAAGCTTAGTTCCTCACCACGCCAACACAGTAGTTCACCGAACCACCTTCATTACACAACCATATAATACCTCATGATGTCATAAGAACAATGTCATACAACACTAGCTATAACCACAGACCATATATCAGAACAGGCCCCAGCTAAAATGGCTGCCCAACTGTTCCATTCTGATGTATAGGGACTACGTGACATCAGCCTATCTAGGGTTCTATCTCTATAGCTATAATACCTCTGATGATATCTCCTCCTATCTAGGGTTCTATATCTACGGCTATAATACCTCTGAGGATCTCTCCTCCTATCTAGGTTTCTATATCTACGGCTATAATACCTCTGAGGATCTCTCCTCCTATCTAGGTTTCTATATCTACGGCTATAATACCTCTGAGGATCTCTCCTCCTATCTAGGTTTCTATATCTACGGCTATAATACCTCTGATGATCTCTCCTCCTATCTAGGTTTCTATATCTATGGCTATAATACCTCTGAGGATCTCTCCTCCTATCTAGGTTTCTATATCTATGGCTATAATACCTCTGATGATCTCTCCTCCTATCTAGGTTTCTATATCTACGGCTATAATACCTCTGATGATCTCTCCTCCTATCTAGGTTTCTATATCTACGGCTATAATACCTCTGAGGATCTCTCCTCCTATCTAGGTTTCTATATCTACGGCTATAATACCTCTGAGGATCTCTCCTCCTATCTAGGTTTCTATATCTACGGCTATAATACCTCTGATGATCTCTCCTCCTATCTAGGTTTCTATATCTATGGCTATAATACCTCTGAGGATCTCTCCTCCTATCTAGGTTTCTATATCTACGGCTATAATACCTCTGATGATCTCTCCTCTTATCTAGGTTTCTATATCTACGGCTGTAATACCTCTGAGGATCTATCCTCCTATCTAGGTTTCTATATCTATGGCTATAATACCTCTGATGATCTCTCCTCCTATCTAGGTTTCTATATCTACGGCTATAATACCTCTGATGATCTCTCCTCCTATCTAGGTTTCTATATCTACGGCTATAATACCTCTGATGATCTCTCCTCCTATCTAGGTTTCTATATCTACGGCTATAATACCTCTGATGATCTCTCCTCCTATCTAGGTTTCTATATCTATGGCTATAATACCTCTGAGGATCTCTCCTCCTATCTAGGTTTCTATATCTACGGCTATAATACCTCTGATGATCTCTCCTCCTATCTAGGTTTCTATATCTACGGCTATAATACCTCTGAGGATCTCTCCTCCTATCTAGGTTTCTATATCTACGGCTATAATACCTCTGAGGATCTCTCCTCCTATCTAGGTTTCTATATCTACGGCTATAATACCTCTGATGATCTCTCCTCCTATCTAGGTTTCTATATCTACGGCTATAATACCTCTGATGATCTCTCCTCTTATCTAGGTTTCTATATCTACGGCTATAATACCTCTGATGATCTCTCCTCCTATCTAGGTTTCTATATCTACGGCTATAATACCTCTGATGATCTCTCCTCCTATCTAGGTTTCTATATCTATGGCTATAATACCTCTGAGGATCTCTCCTCCTATCTAGGTTTCTATATCTATGGCTATAATACCTCTGATGATCTCTCCTCCTATCTAGGTTTCTATATCTATGGCTATAATACCTCTGAGGATCTCTCCTCCTATCTAGGTTTCTATATCTATGGCTATAATACCTCTGAGGATCTCTCCTCCTATCTAGGTTTCTATATCTATGGCTATAATACCTCTGAGGAGCTCTCCTCCTATCTAGGTTTCTATATCTATGGCTATAATACCTCTGATGATCTCTCCTCCTATCTAGGTTTATATATCTACGGCTATAATACCTCTGATGATCTCTCCTCCTATCTAGGTTTCTATATCTACGGCTATAATACCTCTGATGATCTCTCCTCCTATCTAGGTTTCTATATCTACGGCTATAATACCTCTGATGATCTCTCCTCCTATCTAGGTTTCTATATCTACGGCTATAATACCTCTGAGGATCTCTCCTCCTATCTAGGTTTCTATATCTACGGCTATAATACCTCTGATGATCTCTCCTCCTTTCTAGGTTTCTATATCTACGGCTATAATACCTCTGATGATCTCTCCTCCTATCTAGGTTTCTATATCTACGGCTATAATACCTCTGATGATCTCTCCTCCGTCAGACTGGGCCTGTAGGAAGCTGTAGAGGAAGGTGGGCTGGTAGGCACAGTCTACACACGCCTGGACAGTCTGCTGTAGGACAGTGTTGACCGGACCTGGCCCGAAGTGGTCCGGCAGCTGCTGCAACTGCTTCCTGTCCAGGTGTGGGCCGCAGGCACCGTGCTTATTCACGTACACACACACTGGGGGAGAGAGAGAGATGAATGTATCAGTAGACAGGGTGAAGAAGCACTAGAACATTTCTAAAGCTTTATAATAAAGATGTATTAGTTAAATCACTCAGAACAAGGGACAAGCTGGACTCCTCTAGCTTGGGAATATATACTAAGTGTACAAAACATTAAGAACACCTTCCTAATATTGAGTTGCAATATAGCTTTCACCTGGATTCACCTGGTCATTCTATGTCATGGAAAGAGCAGGTGTTCCTAATGTTTTGTACACTCAGTGTATTGTTGTTAATATATCTATCTGTTAAACTGCATTGGTGGTATTATTTATTTGACAGTACTGAGTCTTACCTGTGGAGACCACTCCAGGGCCGGAGCTGAGGCTGGGCTCAGAGGCTGTAGTATATACAGAGCCTGTCCCCGAGGTGGGCAGCACACGTGGCTTCCTCTGAACAAACACAACCTTGTTCACTGACAACTCTTTGATCCGTATAATATACTGACACTACACAGCAGACCGACTGTAATGTAATGGTGATTTTGTCATTAAACATCATGTACATTTATTGGACTGGATGTAAACTCATCCAGGAGTGTTAACTGGAGCCAGTCACACATCACACCTTACACATTTACATTTCATTAAACAGATTTACAATAGAAATGCTGTTCAATTAAGCATGCTTTTTCAGTCCAGTACTAAGCTCAATCTATACATGGGCGGCAGGTAGCTTAGTGGTTAAGAGCGTTGTGCCAGTAACCGAAAGGTCGCTGGTTCTAATCCCCGAGCCGACTAGGTGAAAAATCTGTCGATGTGCCCTTGAGCAAGGCACTTAACCCTAATTGCTCCTGTAAGTCGCTCTGGATAAGAGCGTCTGCTAAATTACCAATTATTATATTATTATTATAATTATAATCTGGATCCAGGAAACTGGCCCATTGACCATAGCTCCTTACCTTGCTCCCAGGCTTGGGCCCCCTCTTCTTATGGGGTCTGGGTGCTAGCTGGGAGCCAGAGACCTGTGGTGTACCATTCAGGGCAGCCTCGGCTGCTGCTTCCGCCGCTGCCTTGAGCAGGGCGATGGTCTGGAGCTTGGGGCGCCGGCCCCGCACCCCCTTCCGCACGGGAAGAGGGGGCAGCGGGTGGGGCAGGCGATAGGAGGAGGGGGACTGCATGGAGCGTCTGGATGGGGTGGGGGGAGAGGAGGAGGCTGGGAGGAAGAGGGCCTTGGGGAGGGTGACTGAAATGAGAGGAAAGGCAAATAGAAAATAAATCACGATGGGAAGTTATTTACCACTGCAATATCACCAGGAATACACAACAACTGAAAACCTAGCTTATAATGACCATAGCTGTTTTTGTCTCTTACCCAAGGTTCATTTAATGTTGCATCTAAATACAGCTGTTGTTGAATGACTTCATGGTATTAAGGCATAAGAAAAAGAGGAGCTACGGTTCTGGGAGGCAAAACAGGAGGACTTCCTGGACACACAAATCAATCACTGTCTGTTCTGATACGCGTTAGGAATTCCACTGAGTTGAAGCGAGTCTACACTCTGCAGCACCAGAAGATCAAACGCTGTCTGACACACATGAATAACAACTTTGATCTTCCTGTTTTGATTTACAGCTACAACTCAAAGTCAGACGTATTACTACTTCCAATCTACTTCCACACACAATCTACCTCCCCCAGCTCCAGCCAGGCAGCCAAAGGTTCTTTAAATATCCAAAGTGTCACATTTCCACTCCTCGTGTTGGTTGGCTACATTTCAAGTGTTCGCTGTTCGCCCAATTTCCCCTCAAAACATTGAGTCAGTGGAAGGAATGGTTGGAATCTTTGAGAGGAGGGAAAAGGTGAGATATACCAGAGTATTCCATCACATTGGGGATAAGGGATACGTTTCCAGTGTGTTGTGTTCTCTAGGTCTAACAAGTCTTTTGTCTGGGGCCCTCCCCCCTTCCATTATAGAGGTCAGGGGTCAGGCTCCCCTGAGACCAGCCAGGTAATCCCCTCCTGCAGACAGCCTGCCTTCATCTCACCTAGACCACAACACTAGGCTCCTGTTACATGTTCAATTACTAAGGCCAAACCTACTATGAGGTTTAGGTTTGTTATAACACTGCGATGGCCAATCACTACTTTAAAAGACTGTTGAACCAAATAAAAAACCTAGCCTAATATACGGACAATGGGTTTTCAAGGGGTGAGGTTTGCTAAGGGTTGAAATCTTTGTATTTAAACAGCTTGGTATACAGGGCACTTATTATGGTCCTCTGTAGCTCAATTGGTAGAGCATGGCGCTTGTAACGCCAGGGTAGTGGGTTGGATCCCCAGGACCACCCATACGTAAAAATGTATGCACACATGACTGTAAGTCGCTTTGGATAAAAGCGTCTGCTAAATGGCACATTATTATTATTATTATAATATAGACAGGGCATCGTAGCTAAACACATCCCTAAACCAGCTATAAAGACAAACAATAGCAGGTAACCAGGGTGTGTCAAGTAAAACTACTATATTCAAATATTATTCTTTCATTACTGCTCAATTCAATCTCAGCTGTCGCTTATATAAATAACTCATTCTTATCAAGACCAGCAGACTTCTGACTTAGGCTTTTAAATTCTGCCTTCTCTCCTACTCTCTCAATCTGGCCCAGCAACACAATGGGAGTGGAAAGTCTCGGAGGATATCTGCCATTCAAAGCATCAAGTCAACCCGTCCATCAATAGAGGTGTAAAATGGCACATCCAGAGAAAGACATTGAAAGGCATTGTGGGTAATCACGCAAAAGCAGCCAGTGGCCCCGGCCTCACAAGTCAGTCCACGATTCTGACTTTTATTATTAGTAGCAGTGTGTGTGTGTGTGTGTGTGTGTGTGTGTGTGTGTGTGCCCATGTCAAATATGCCCTGATAAGCATCTCCTATTTCAATAGAGGAGCTCAGAGGCTGGTTGTCTAGTAGAGAGCAGACCTGGGTTCAAATACTATTCGAAATGGTTCAAATACTGTGCGCGTCTATTGGTTCTTTTGTGCCAGGCAAGCTCAATCCAGCCCGGCTAAAGTATTTGAGATGATCTCCAATAGTATCTGAAGCCAGGTATGGTAGAGAGGCAGCGTCTCTAAGGAGGCTACAGGAGGGAGCTCCACGGGTCCTCCAGCTAGACTATAGCACAGGGACTAGGTGTCTAAATGGAATCCTATTCTCTACACATCACAATAGTTTTGACCAGATTCCTTTCCGCCCTGGTCAGAGGTAGTGCACTATGTAGGGAATAAGGTTCCAGTTGGGACACACTCTATGGCTTGGCTCTACAGCGTTCTCTAAGGGCCAGCAAAATGCCGCTATGGCTGCTTAAGCAGCTTGGGAAAGGTTTCATTGAGAGATGAGGGAAAGTGGGGGAAGAATAGAGGAGTGTTTTGTTTCACAAGGAGGGAAAGTTCACTCACTAGGGGCAGGGCTACCCCCACCCCCACACACAAACACACACACACACATTATCTCGATCACACACAGACACTACAATACTCCACCTCTCCAAAACAGCTTAGTGAGCAATAGACAAAAACCTATTTTAGTTCCTAGTTCCAAGTCAAGACAAAGATTCATTTCCATTCCATTAAACTGTCCCCCTAGTTGTCCTAACATAGAGCCTTCCATTCCATTAAACTGTCCCCCTAGTTGTCCTAACATAGAGCCTTCCATTCCATTAAACTGTCCCCCTAGTTGTCCTAACATAGAGCCTTCCATTCCATTAAACTGTCCCCCTAGTTGTCCTAACATAGAGCCTTCCATTCCATTAAACTGTCCCCCTAGTTGTCCTAACATAGAGCTTTCCATTCCATTAAACTGTCCCCCTAGTTGTCCTAACATAGAGCTTTCCATTCCATTAAACTGTCCCCCTAGTTGTCCTAACATAGAGCCTTCCATTCCATTAAACTGTCCCCCTAGTTGTCCTAACATAGAGCTTTCCATTCCATTAAACTGTCCCCCTAGTTGTCCTAACATAGAGCCTTCCATTCCATTAAACTGTCCCCCTAGTTGTCCTAACATAGAGCCTTCCATTCCATTAAACTGTCCCCCTAGTTGTCCTAACATAGAGCCTTCCATTCCATTAAACTGTCCCCCTAGTTGTCCTAACATAGAGCCTTCCATTCCATTAAACTGTCCCCCTAGTTGTCCTAACATAGAGCCTTCCATTCCATTAAACTGTCACCCTAGTTGTCCTAACATAGAGCCTTCCATTCCATTAAACTGTCCCCCTAGTTGTCCTAACATAGAGCCTTCCATTCCATTAAACTGTCCCCCTAGTTGTCCTAACATAGAGCCTTCCATTCCATTAAACTGTCCCCCTAGTTGTCCTAACATAGAGCTTTCCATTCCATTAAACTGTCCCCCTAGTTGTCCTAACATAGAGCCTTCCATTCCATTAAACTGTCCCTCTAGTTGTCCTAACATAGAGCCTTCCATTCCATTAAACTGTCCCCCTAGTTGTCCTAACATAGAGCCTTCCATTCCATTAAACTGTCCCCCTAGTTGTCCTAACATAGAGCCTTCCATTCCATTAAACTGTCCCCCTAGTTGTCCTAACATAGAGCCTTCCATTCCATTAAACTGTCCCCCTAGTTGTCCTAACATAGAGCCTTCCATTCCATTAAACTGTCCCCCTAGTTGTCCTAACATAGAGCCTTCCATTCCATTAAACTGTCCCCCTAGTTGTCCTAACATAGAGCCTTCCATTCCATTAAACTGTCCCCCTAGTTGTCCTAACATAGGACAGTTGAATATAAATGGAAATGGAAGGCTCTATGTTAGGACAACTAGAGGGACAGTTTAATGGAATGGAAAGCTCTGTGTTCTGCAGTCAGAGTATAAGGACTTAATCAGGACGGGTCATTTCAGGCTGACCCAATGACCCGGTGGCCAGGAGGTCTGGAGTCCCGGGGCAGTGAGGGGCGCTGCTTCTGGGGCTGAGAAGTGTGGCTCCTTAGCCTGGAGGCCTGGATGACTGGTTGGGGGTTGGGTCGGGGCCTGTGTGTGTGTGTGTTTGACCACGCCTCAAGCCGTATTACCCAGCTCTCCCTCTTGTAATATTTCCATTTCAGTTTGGACTGGGAGCTCTGGAGGGAATCTGGTTATTCTCCATATCCTTTTTGATTGAGCTCCCTGATGCAGTGTGAATCTGAACCACATGCTTTGAGACCAGGGGAGGATTGGGCTGGGGTTTAGAGAGGGGGTAGAGTGGTTCTGATATCCCCAGGCAGACCAGGGGAGGATTGGGCTGGGGTTTAAAGAGGGGGGTAGAGTGGTTCTGATATCCCCAGGCAGACCAGGGGAGGATTGGGCTGGGGTTTAAAGAGGGGGTAGAGTGGTTCTGATATCCCCAGGCAGACCAGGAGAGAATTGGGCTGGGGTTTAGAGAGGGGGTAGAGTGGTTCTGATATCCCCAGGCAGACCAGGGGAGGATTGGGCTGGGGTTTAAAGAGGGGGTAGAGTGGTTCTGATATCCCCAGGCAGACCAGGGGAGGATTGGGCTGGGGTTTAGAGGGGGGGTAGAGTGGTTCTGATATCCCCAGGCAGACCACTTTAAACAATCTGTTACTGTGTCAAACATCACAAACAAAACAATTATCTTTATACTGAAAACACATTTAACTTGATCGAAAAAGTACTTCTACTTCAAAGATGTTATAATAATTAAAAACACGTTTTTTTGCATAACAAGATGGGTGAATATTTCCATAACCATAAGAGAGTAAAGCAATTCTCTAAGGGTTAAATAGTGTATTTAAATGTATGGACAATTATATTCCTGAATTTACATTTATGAAGCAATTTGCATGGTTCTATCCTAACACAATTACGTTAAAACTAAAATGTTGTATTAAGAGTCATACAATTATTGAACAAATATGGACATTATATGATAGATGGTAGACACAGATACCAACCCTAAGCAGAGACCAGTAGTCCTAAATATAAATGACTGTTCCCTATAAGCCCTCATTTCAATCATTCAAATCAACCAGAGCAAACAAAGAGGGTCGTTGAAACAGTCAGGGCCTGCAAACAATAGCTAAATCATCTGCAGTTAGTAGATCAAATAATCTGCAGTAAGTACGTCTACGGGTGACTGAGATGCAACAGCCATTCATTCACACAAAGAAACAGTGGATTCCCTCCTTTCTAGAAACTGACTGTTACTATGAAGACGAAGTCTAACGCCGGCTCTCACGTGAGAGGAAGAGGAACTGAACAGAGCAGCCACCACTAGATAAAAATAGACACGAGACAAAAGCAGAGGCAGCAAACTCACCAGGAACTCCCAACACGGTGCTACGTTTCCGGCCAGCAACAGCAACAGTAGTAGTCCACAACAACAGAATAGTCCCTCTTTACTAGTTTGAACCCTGGTTGACGTCAGGGTCTGAAGAGCCTTCTCTCTCTCTCTCTCTATCTCTCTCTCTCCTCACTTCTCCTCTCTCTCTCTCTCTCTCTCTCTCCTCTTCTCACTTTTCCTCTCTCTCTCGCTCTCTCTCTCTCTCTCTCTGTCCTCTTCTCACTTTTCCTCTCTCTCTCTCTCTCTCCTTCCCTCTTTCTGGCTTTCTCTGTCCAGCTCCAGTCCACAACAAAGCCCCATGCTGCTGCCTGACTGACGGAGGCGGTATTAGAAACAGGAGGAGCTAGCTACTGGTGCCGCCTCCTTCCCTCCCTGTGAATGAACAGAGCAGAGCAGCAGAGGGCTGAGCGGCTGATTTGCATCGCAGGGGAAGAGGAGGGGGATGGATGGGGCTAGCGGGCGGAGGAGGAGTGGGAGGGAGGGAGGGGTAAAGGGGGGGAGGGTTTTATGCATGTGATCAAAGAGCTATATTGACAGTGCTCATCGGTCACCTGCCTACCGTTCGCTCTCCTCTCCAGGCCCCTCCAACTCTCTGAGGGGGCGAGGGTTGTTTAGAGGCGGGGTGCCTGGGGAGGGGGGCGGGGGGGGTAAAAGGTTCAAATGGATGAGAGGACCCCGATTCAGGAGGAGGCACAAGAGGTCTCCCGTAGGCTGCATTAGAAGGCTCAGAGAATGGGAGGGAGGGGGAGAGAGGGGGAGAGAGGGGGAGAGAGGGGTCTCCCCGACTCCTAACCCAAGAAGAGAGGGGTCCCTCATCCCTCTCTCTGTAACCCAAGCCCATTCAGACGTCCCTGGAGGAGCTGGTGAAAGACGGCTTGGATAGGGGCAGGAAACAGTGGCACGTAGCAGGGAGCAGCAGCCACGGCTTTCCATACCCTGCCTGCGTCTCAAATAACACCCTTATTCCATTTATAGGCACCCTGGTAAAAAGTAGTGCACTATTAAAGGGAATAGAGAGCCATTTGGGAAGCAGCCCCTGCCCGCCTGCTTCAGAAAGTATGTTGAAAGTCTCCTTCTAATCTGACTGATCTGAGGCAAACAAAGACAGCTTCATCTCCAGAAAATAAGACCTTTAATGCTGCTCATATGGTTATTTCACCATGGAGCCAGAGAAATTATCTGAGGGTTATTTACCTCAGGGTATAATAAGAAAATAAGAAATGGGGTGGGGGGGTTGATTGGCAGCCTGCCAGTGGGGTTAGGGTGTAGGACTGTCAACTACAGGAAACAGTTCCCCAAATAAATTAATAAAAAATAAATAAATAAATGTGTCTGTTCTAAAAGTCCCAGATGAAGAGGCTGTTGTTTTCTCATCATGCATAACTAATACTAGTGAGGTAGAAGAGAACCAACCAACCAAAGACAACTGCTCAAAAGGAACAAAAATGATTTGAGCTTTAGCTAGAAATGAACTTCAGCACCCCCCCTAGTGTTTCCTTTTGAAACACATAGTTAGTGAAGATGAATCATAATATAACTTCAATGAAAGGGGTAAATAAGAATGAAAGTGTTTGTTTTACAATTACAACAGTTATTCCTCCTCATGTACTTATGAAGAGCATTTGTGTGGCATTTCTATACAGTGGGAATAAATTATTCAAACAAACCTTCCATTTTTTTTTATGAATAAAAAATAAAAATAAACACTACTCTAACATTAGAACAACAAGACGTAAACCCTTTGGCTGCTATTAAAATAAACACCACAAAAACATTATTTGATATAAACTATATTTAATTGTATGACACATCTGCTAAAGTTAATTTCACCTCATGAAACAAAAGTTGATTTGACTTTGATGAAAAAGTCAAACTTGGTGACTCAAAGCTAAATTACTTTTTGATTTTTATAAAATCTACAATAAAGAGATTTAATATTTTAATGTTTAAGGAAAAATAGATACACAAATTTTGTCATTTAGTCACTAATATAATGTTATAGTAACTCTATATCAGGATCAAAATTATACAAAACATTTATTTTTTAAATATTATTTTCTGATTGTTAAAAGAGAAAGTACAAAATGTGCATTTGGAAATCCATGCAAACAGCCTTTTGCTAATGAGGAAAATGAAACGAACACACTCCTAATTCTACATTAGTATGGGAAGGATTTAGTCTAGATATTATTCTCTGTTCAAACTGACAGCAGTGTTATAGGTTATAACAGATGGGGCTGAATGTAATTTCACAAGGTAATTGAATGGCTTACTGTTTTAAGATTCTCACGTTCCTTCGCTGGTTATCTCTTAATCAAAAGGGGGTCTAAAAACAAAAATAATGTTTATTTTATAATGGATAAAATGTACACTTTAATACATTCCTTACTCTGATTACTCAATCACTGTTAAAACAAAAAACTAAAATACTGTTTTTGTACGAAATAACTATGAAAATGTAAATGAGAATAATCAGTGGGCTGTTCTCTCCACTGTGTCCCCGGCTGTATTCTTTTAACCCCATCAGACTGCATGCGGTCTCTCAACAACCCAAGGTGACATTCAACAATAGAGACGTGGGTAAAGTGTAGACCACCCCCACCACCACCGCCCCTTCAATCACGCCCACACCCTCTTTACCCCCCACATCCCTCCAATGGCTCATCACTGAGACCTGTCGTCTGACCATTATCTCCTAATCAGACTCAAATTGGGAGGGAGATGGAGGAGAATAGCACCCTGAGGATAGATCTCATTCTCTAAAAGCAGCTAAGGGGAGTAAATGTTTTTCTCCATCTAAACAGCTGCATCAAATGAACAAGTTGCATTGTTAATTCCTTCTAAAAGTTTAGTAATACAACTTGGTAGAAATTATGTTGGTAGAAATTAGGATCAAACCAAAACAAAAGTTTAACAGAACATAAAAAATATGTTTAAAAAATCTTAAGACCAGTAAAAATTATAAATTATTAATATAAATTATAAATGTTCATTACCTCTTTCAAAGCTGTAATATGTAACTTTTTTTGGGGGGGGGGGGCGACCCAACCAAATTCACATAGAAATATGAATTATAGATCTTGTCAGTCTCATTGAAAGCAAGTCTAAGAAGCAGTAGATCTGTTCTATGTGCTCCATTGCTATGTTCTTACATTTAGTTTTTGCCTCTGTTACTTTCGGTTTCAAACAGCTGAAAAATACAATATTTTTGGTTTAATGAAAACATATTTCACTGCGGTTTAGATGGTTCAATGATTCTCTACACCATCCATTGCTTGTTTTGTCACATAAACTGAAATTAGGCGAACTATTAGAATTTTTGCAACCAGGAAATGGCGGCGCAACTTCTGCATAGTGCACCTTTAAAAAGCATAGCAAAAGATATATACATTTGAAGCTTGATCAATACTTTTTTCGGTCAGAGAAATGTGAGCTGATGGCCTGAACAAGGTGGTAGTAAAACCCACCCCCTCCCGACCAGACTGACTGTTACTGATACTGAGATAGAGGAAGTGTGCGTTTCCTAACAGTTAAAGTTCTGCTGAGAGAAGAGATGCATCCATCTCCACATCATACTATATCCTCTCTGCACCCACACCGTGGTACACACACACACACACACACACACACACACACAGATGACAAACAGACACACACATGGACAATAAACACAGGAAGACAGTTGTAAACATGCCAGTCACTCAGGGAAGAGGACCAGATTGAAGCCAGTTTGAAAGACACATAACTACCACCATCAGTCACAGTGTGCGTCCCAAATGGCACCTTATTCCCTTTATAGTGCACTACTTTTGACCAGGGACCATAGGGCTCGGGTCAAAAGTAGTGCACTATATAGGGAATAGGGTGCCATTTTGGATGCACACTCTGTCGCCAGTCTTAATGCTATCCATATCAATTCCCCTGTCGGAGCTGTAGAGAGCAGCTTGTAGCTTGTAGCTTAATAGCACAAGAGATCATAAAGCTGTACTGGGAGAGTTGTTTTTACTCTGTAAGTACAGTGATACATAGTGTGGACTATAAAAGACTGCTGGATGTTTTATTGTGCATGCTAAGACCTATCAAAACGACCATACATCATGTAGTGGGGATGACTGGCCCTCGCTGGTAATCAGGGTCTATTAAATAAAGCAAAACAACATTCTTCTTGCACTGAAACAAAGTGTGTTTGAGCTGAAATCATTCACACACACATTTAAAATGGTTGGCAGGTGAGTCAACGTTGTGTTAAAACCCTTTCATTTGTCATGGAATTAAGAGTTAATTACTTCTCTATTTTAGTTTATTTGCTTTTAAGCACAAATTACTTTTTAAAAAATAACCAGAAATTATGGGTAGATTTCCGTGAAAAATTGGTAAAGTTGAGGAATTGAAGAAACCCAAGGGAAATCTGTGTAAAAAATCATTCTGAAGGTAAGACAATGGATGAGATAAATGTCTACTGATCATCAGCCTCACTAAGACGGTTAATCAACCAAAGGGTTATTAAAAGCAACACATACCCTGTGGTATGCTGAGAAGGAACCATAATTGGTCACAGCTTGACATGAACAATCCAGCTAAATGTAGTATTCTAACAACAAGAATCCAGACCGCGCTGCTACTGTACGACTTGATGTTGGATTAACCCTCTACTGCACACGTTTTGGTTTTTCCATTACAAAAAATATTTCATCCTATTTTTTGGAAGATTTTGGCTTTCTGATAGTGTATCAATAATTGAACAAATATTGTACCCCTCCCCCCCCCCCCCCCCAAAAAAAAAGACAGAATAGAACTTGAAACTAACATATAAGAGCAACAACCGATTAAGTCGAACGTAGTAGAAACAAGCACTTCTTTCATAAGAAAATACAAGTTGCGCATAAACTAGTTTCTGGGGGGCCATTCTTCCTAGCAGTCCTAAAGGTCACTGCCCTCTGTATCAGATTGGGCTCTTTCACCAACAGAATGTCCCAGTGTCCACTGCCTGTGAATGTCAGTGGATAAGTTGGCAAAAACATCGACCAAGGCCATCATTTTACACGTCTTTCATTGAGTATGATATTGCCCTGAGGCAAAAAGAAAAGTACATTTTTTGAATATACAGTGGGGAGAACAAGTATTTGATACACTGCCGATTTTGCAGGTTTTCCTACTTACAAAGCATGTAGAGGTCTGTAATTTTTATCATAGGTACACTTCAACTGTGAGAGACGGAATCTAAAACAAAAATCCAGAAAATCACATTGTATGATTTTTAAGTAATTAATTTCAATTTTATTGCATGACATAAGTATTTGATACATCAGAAAAGCAGAACTTAATATTTGGTACAGAAACCTTTGTTTGCAATTACAGAGATCATACGTTTCCTGTAGGTCTTGACCAGGTTTGCACACACTGCAGCAGGGATTTTGGCCCACTCCTCCATACAGACCTTCTCCAGATCCTTCAGGTTTCGGGGCTGTCGCTGGGCAATACAGACTTTCAGCTCCCTCCAAAGATTTTCTATTGGGTTCAGGTCTGGAGACTGGCTAGGCCACTCCAGGACCTTGAGATGCTTCTTACGGAGCCACTCCTTAGTTGCCCTGGCTGTGTGTTTCGGGTCGATGTCATGCTGGAAGACCCAGCCACGACCCATCTTCAATGCTCTTACTGAGGGAAGGAGGTTGTTGGCCAAGATCTCGCGATACGTGGCCCCTTCCATCCTCCCCTCAATATGGTGCAGTCGTCCTGTCCCCTTTGCAGAAAAGCATCCCCAAAGAATGATGTTTCCACCTCCATGTTTCACGGTTGGGATGGTGTTCTTGGGGTTGTACTCATCCTTCTTCCTCCTCCAAACACGGCGAGTGGAGTCTAGACCAAAAAGCTATATTTTTGTCTCATCAGACCACATGACCTTCTCCCATTCCTCCTCTGGATCATCCAGATGGTCATTGGCAAACTTCAGACGGGCCTGGACATGCGCTGGCTTGAGCAGGGGGACCTTGCGTGCGCTGCAGGATTTTAATCCATGACGGCGTGGTGTGTTACTAATGGTTTTCTTTGAGACTGTGGTCCCAGCTCTCTTCGGGTCATTGACCAGGTCCTGCCGTGTAGTTCTGGGCTGATCCCTCACCTTCCTCATGATCATTGATGCCCCACGAGGTGAGATCTTGCATGGAGCCCCAGACCGATTGACCGTCATCTTGAACTTCTTCCATTTTCTAATAATTGCGCCAACAGTTGTTGCCTTCTCACCAAGCTGCTTGCCTATTGTCCTGTAGCCCATCCCAGCCTTGTGCAGGTCTACAATTTTATCCCTGATGTCCTTACACAGCTCTCTGGTCTTGGCCATTGTGGAGAGGTTGGAGTCTGTTTGATTGAGTGTGTGGACATGTGTCTTTTATAAAGGTAACGAGTTCAAACAGGTGCAGTTAATACAGGTAATGAGTGGAGAACAGGAGGTCTTCTTAAAGAAAAACTAACAGGTCTGTGAGAGCCGGAATTCTTACTGGTTGGTAGGTGATCAAATACTTATATCATGCAATAAAATGCAAATTAATTACTTAAAAATCATGCAATGTGATTTTCTGGATTTTTGTTTTAGATTCCGTCTCTCACAGTTGAAGAGTAGCTATGATAAAAATTACAGACCTCTACATGCTTTGTAAGTAGGAAAACCTGCAAAATCGGCAGTGTATCAAATACTTGTTCTCCCCACTGTATATCAAAACAAAATATGTTTAAAACCTAGCAAATATTCTTCTTTAGAGGTTCCTACACAAGCACATCTTTTTTATTGTCTCTATTTAAAATTATTGTACCCTTCCCTCACACCATGCACTCAAGTCGCTCTGCTTCCTGAAAGAAGGTCCCTCCCCCAATTGAAACGTCATACCAACTTCTGCACCTCATTGGATTGTTTACAGACATGTCATCACATATTGTGTAGGAATTTAAAATATATATATGGGGGGGAGGGGCAAAAAAGTTATTGTGTGCAGTAGAGGTTTAAACAAATAACACATTAAGGAAGATATTATGAAGCTCACAATCATATATTTACAATGATTTACTTGAATAAGAAAATGACCTTAACCTATCAATATATATATATCATCTTGGCTTTAATCTTGGCTTTATACAAACAAACTATACCCAAATGCAAAGTGTGGAAGGACAATCCTGCTTGAAATGTACCAGTGAAAAGGTACTAATTGTAGTAAACCTACTACAATTAGAAAAGAACACAGGAAATAGGAGAAAAACAGCCAGCGCAATCCTCTCTGAAAGAAATAGTTTGTTTTTCTCATCCAGCTCTGCTCATTCAGGCAGCTTCAGAAAGGAACCCTGGGCCAGCACCCAGTGGTGTCGGACAGACAGGGCAAAATCATCAGCAAGCAGGGCTCTGCTGTCCTCTAGTGGTGAGGTTGAGGTACTTACAGAAGTTACCAGGAGGCTGGATACTGTGTCTGGTCAGAGAGCACCATCCTACAGGGAATATGTCTCTGGAGTCAAACTGGCACCAGTAGTCGAAGGCCCCTCTCCAGCCGTCAAACATCACAAATATCTCATCACCTAAAAATAAAGATGAATATAATAAACAGTAGGACATAGAGGAGCTGTGCCACTAGAGATCCTGGTTCGAATCCAGGCTCTGTCGTAGCCGGCCGCGACCGGGAGACCCATGGCCCAGCGCACAATTGGCCCAGCGTCGTCCAGGGTAGGGGAGGGAATGGCCGGCAGGGGATGTAGCTCAGTTGGTAGAGCATGGCGTTTGCAACGCCAGGGTTGTGGGTTCGATAAAATAATGTATGTGCTAACTGTAAGTCGCTCTGGATAAGAGCGTCTGCTAAATGACTAAAATGTAAATGTAATGTAAATGAGATACATCGACCAGACGACAAATGGGGGCAAAGGAACAAATAGTATTATAGTAAATCAATAAAAAATAGTATGGAGTTTTAGTTATAGTAATAAAGTTGTCCTCCAAAGAGATGGGGTAAAGGTAGGTTAAATAAAAAAGATCTTGTTACCTTTGACCTCTCCGATGGTTGCCGGGCAGATCAGGTAGGGGTTCTTCTTGTCCACTGCTTCTAGCTTCATCCCAGGTTTAAAGAGATTCTGGGAGGGCTTGGAGGGTTCCTACACACGCAGAGAACTCTGTTAGTCCAGACGAGACAGATCCGTTTATATACACACACATGTAAATCATTGATGTACGTACATCAGTAAATCAAAACAGTACAATACAATACAGTACAATACAGCTTTATGGTCCAATGTGAATCGAAAATGTTTCATTTTTCTTTGTGACTTTACTTTTTTAAAAGCTGTGGCTGGAGCCATCTCTGCTCCAGTCAGGGTTCTCAGGAGGAACATAGGCCACGAGGAGGCATTCATTCTGAAGCCTAAAGACAAGTCAAAGATAAAGGTAAAGATTACATATATTGCTGCTTTATTGCTGTTATAAGCATGTTATGTTATATTATGTTATAATATGTTATAATATGTTATAATATGTTATAATATGTTATAATATGTTATAATATGTTATATTATAATATGTTATAATATGTTATATTATGTTATATTATGTTATAATATGTTATATTATGTTATAATATGTTATAATATGTTATATTATGTTATATTTAGGGCTGTCAAATGATTAAAATTTTTAATCAAATTAATCAGAATTTTCAGTGGATTAATCATGATTAATCACTATTTGCAATTACACCTGAATCCTAACCATTTTTTTTCTGAAATGCATACCAAAAGATAAATAACAGGACACAGATACATAATTTTCATATTATGTCTGTTTATTAACACAGCCAAATAATGGTGTTTTAAATCAAGCTGAAACATACTACACACCATAATATTTGTCTTTGGCTGTGGCTGTGGCTCTTGACGGTGGCTTATAGAATGAGTCTTGAGACGCCACTTGCAAAACATCAAGGAAACCTGAGTCTTCTACAATGCTAATGGATCTACAATCCTTTGCAATCCATTTTGCTATTGTGTTGGTCAAATTATCTGAGGTTGATTATGTTAATTGCCTGCAAACATTCAGCGTGGTCTGGCGCAAACCACTTGCTGAATCTGACGGCCCAGCAAACGCATGTTTGGCGTTGACATGGTACTTCAAGCTTGAACAGCTCCGGTGAAATTGAAACTCCTTCTTACAAATCTTGCAAATAACCTTGTACTTGTTAACTGTACCATCATCATTCTTTTTATATTTGAATCCGTCAATAGGCCCACTTTGCTCACCTTGCTCCATCTCGCCTCTAGCTCCCAACCACTTTCCTGACCTGAATAATTTGTCACACTGCGCATGCGTGAAATGCGTTAAAAAAATTGACGTAATTAACAGCAAACAACTAATTAACGTCGTTAACGCGCTATTTTTGACAGCCCTAGTTATATTATGTTATAATATGTTATAATATGTTATGTTATAATATGTTATGTTATAATATGTTATAATATGTTATAATATGTTATAATATATTATAATATGTTATATTATGTTATATTATGTTATAATATGTTATATTATGTTATAATATGTTATAATATGTTATGTTATAATATGTTATAATATGTTATATTATGTTATAATATGTTATAATATGATATGTTATAATATGTTTTGGTATAATATGTTATAATTTGTTATTTCTATGTAGCACATTTCAGGACATAGTGCAGCCCTTACCCAGCAGGGGTTTCAGCATGTTTCCTCTCACAGGTCCCTATTGGCTGGATGTCTAATAAACCTTTATGAAGTCTTATAACATGTAATATCTCTCTATGTAGCCTTACCCAGAGGTGGCTGCAGCATGTCCCCTTTCCTCTCACAGGTCCCTATAGGCTGGATGTCTGAGGAGTCCACCAGTCTCCAGAAATCGTTGGTGTTGTCACTCCCGTCCAGACGGAGACGCAGACGAGTACCCATCATACCCATCACCGTGGCGATGCAGACGGACGTGTTGTTCCGAGGGTCGTGGGCCTCCAGCTTCATACCAGCCTTGAAGTCGTTACTGGGAGGGAAACGGGACTGGGGGAGACAGGAGGACAATGGAACAGTCAATAACGGATTTACTTGCTTATCTAAACCTAATGTTATGTTAGGCGGGTTTTATTTAAACCTAATGTTGGGCAGAGTTTTATCTAAACCTAATGTTGGGCAGGGTTTTATTTAAACCTAATGTTGGGCAGAGTTTTATTTAAACCTAATGTTGGGCAGAGTTTTATCTAAACCTAATGTTGGGCAGAGTAAAAAAAAAAACGTATGCATTCACTAACTGTAAATCGCTCTGGATAAGAGCGTCTGCTAAATGACTAAAATGTAAAAATGTAAAATGTATTTAAACCTAATGTTGGGCAGAGTTTTATTTAAACCTAATGTTGGGCAGAGTTTTATCTAAACCTAATGTTACCAAATTGTTGACACCTTTTCTAATCCTCTCAGATCTAGGAATGCATGGGGGGTTAGGGGTTGATTTGGCATTGGACACAAGTCAAAAACCACTTCCTAAAGCAGCCTTTAGTGTTGTAGTTATTAGGTCATATCTACCTGTCTGAAACAACTGGGAGAGGCAGCAGTGGATGACGTTTCCTTAAGGTACTCCTCCCAACTGAAGGGTTCTGGCAAAAGAAAAGGGCATAGTTCAAACTATCTGAAAATCTTAGATTACACTATATTGTGACAGAGAAGAACATTGTTTAATACCATTAGATTTATCCAGAGACGGGGGACCTGTTCCTGGAGAGGGGTTACTTCTCTCAGGTTTCTCCCCCTTCTCTTCTTTTGGCTCTGAAAAGGAGACAATTCAACCTCTTATTAATACACTTTAGAGTAGAGTAGAACAGAATATAATAGAAAATAATACAATCCAATACAAAGCATCAAAAAAGTGATGACCTTTCTGAGGTGTTCGGCCCATGTTGACCGATGGTACCACCAGGTGCCAGGTGAAGGGACCACAGACGGGGCACAGACTGGTCAATGTGCCACTACCGACGCTGTGCTGAGCTCCTACAGCAGATACACAGAGAGAGACATTTATTTGTTTACTTGTATTTAACCAGGAAATCCCAATGTATGTTTTTTTTTTAACCTTCATTTAACCAGGAAGTTCCATTGAGGTCAAGATACCTTTTAAACAAGGGAGACAAGCAGAGTTAGGCAGGGCCCTCTTTCTAGGTTGGTCCAGCAGGCAATATCTATACCCACAGCTTGTTTCAGTAGTGGGGAAAAAGCAAGAGAACACACAAAGAAAATATCTAACAGCAACAACTGAAATGGAGCGGAATTTTTAATCATCTTCATTCCACAGAAACTAAAGCATCAGAAGCTCGGAACGCCGAAGGAAAAGGATCAGCGTTAATCATGATGAACGCATTCTGAGGGAATGAAAGCCGTAAGTGGATTTCATCACATTGACAGACAGTGTAATAATTTACTGGGCCTCCGGACCGTGCAGGTTTATGAAGATCAAAGAGTATTTGGAGAAGTGATGAGGTCACAGCTGTCATGGCTGTGGACGGTAAAGTAATATATGCCATTTAGCAGACACTTTTATCCACAGTACAGTACACTACAGTAAGACTGGAGTCCATGCTCTTGAACTAGCCAGATGCGTTAGGACACTTTGAACAGCTTCTACTGACATGAAAGGAGTGGCTTTAACTCACGTCCAAAGTAGTAACAGGAGGTAGACAAAAGGAAGATCTGTTCAATGCATAGAAAACCCCCCAGACATAACCTTTTTTCTACAAATAACATGATCCAGGCTGAAGACTGAAGCGTCCGCCTCCAGACAGACAGACAGACAGACAGACAGACAGAACCAATGGTTTGGGAAACAGTGGAGAATAATAACTAGTGTTGTCTAACAATCATAACCTGTTCTAAAGTAGTGTACGTGCACATCCAATCCAGTCATTCTCTCGGTGCAAGGTACTAAACAATGCCACATAGGAGGAAAGGAAACACCCACAGCCAACTAGACAAGCTGGTTTAGGTAGGTAAACAATGAGACAGCAATGGAGCCCAGATATCTTACATTCTCAAGATCAAACCAATCACCAAAGAGGACGCTCAAGGTGAGAAGACATCCAGTTAACCAGTAAAGTCCCAATTAAATCCATGTGACGGAAAATTAAGAAGGAATTCTCTCTCTATCAACATCTCCGCTGAGCCAAAAAAATGTCAGGTTTAGGTTTTGCAGTGCAACAGCTCTCTGTCCTTCTCCCCAGCCCCTATCTCCCTAGCCCCTATCTCCCTATCTCCCCAGCCCCTCACCCTCTCTCGCTCCCCTCCTCCCTCCCTCCCCTTCTTAGATGTGGATCCCATTGAGCTTGCCCCAGCCATAAAGATTCCTAGCCTCTGTAAAAGGCCATTAAGCCATGTACATCTGGGGGAGTCTGTCTGGGGGAGTCTAGAACTCTAACATGAAAAGGATTCCAGAACCTCTCATTAACAGACAGATGATGTCTGTCTTCTCATTGGCCGAGGCCCCGTTCCATTCAGGAGGGCCACGCCCCCAGGACAGAAAGGATCCCATTGGAGTGGAGATGTCCCCACTTTACAACAGGAGAGGAAGTGCTAGTGTTTTAGTTAGGTCTGCTTCCTTATTACTGGCGGAAGGCAATTCCACAATAACGGAATTACGCTTTGACTCCAACTTTTCACTTTAAAATGTATGCCAAACAAAAACCATTGATTTTCAAAGTTTAACCAACCATACAGCTATACTTTGAACAATTTACAGTCAATTTCACAACAAATGTTGGTTATTGAACTACAGTAGGTGAAGTGGATTTACATCCGTAAACAGAATTACGGTAACGGGTTTACATCATGGGTCCCTGATCTGTACTATACAGAAATGCATAATTATGGATATGAATATAATTATCTTCATGGTGATGTATCCTGAATAGGTACACTGAGGTAGAAATATGCAATATCCTCCTTTTGCATATTTGGGTATTATTCTAAACACTGGCTATTATTGTAATGAGCTCCGCCCCCAAACAAGACCACATTTGGTTGGTCCGGACCAAACCAAATCTGAACCAATCATAGACGTCTAAGTTTCACAAGTTTGGACATCACAGTACAAAACAGTACAGTAAAGTACAGCACAGTAGAATTCAGTACAGTACAGTAAAGTAGATCTGTTCAGTAGAGTACAGTACAATACAGTCGATTATACTGTACTCTACTGTGCTTTAATTGTAATGAACTCTATTTCTCTTTACTGTACTCTACTGAACTCTACTGTACTGTTCTCTACTGTACTGTTCTCTACTGTACTGTTCTCTACTGAACTCTACTGTACTGTTCTCTACTGAACTATACTTCTCTTTAATGTACTGTTCTCTACTGTGCTGTTCTCTACTGAACTGTTCTTTACTGTACTGTTCTCTACTGAACTCTACTGTACTGTTCTCTACTGTGCTGTACAAACTTGTGAAACATATATATCTATGATTGGTTCAGATTCGGTCCGGCCAGGGCAGATTGATTCAATTTCAACTAATTTTCAACGTCAATGGACATCCGGTGTCGGTCAGTGCTCAGTGGGTAAGGATGCTTGTTACAGTAAATGGAAAGAGGGTAGGTAGTAGTGATGATGTAAAAATAAAAAAAATTCATACAGACACATATCGGGATATAATTTTTCACGATTTATCGTATCGTTTTGACAATATCGCAAAATAAAAATGTTGCACTAGTTGGCTGTACCTGCACCAAAACTCCTGTTTTTTTCCCTTCATAGCTTGTTCTCCATCTTCTTTTTAAATAGGGAGCCAATTTGTTTTCAGCAATTTATTTCCATGATTGTTCAAAACGTGTTTTCTCATAACTCTATCTCGTCTCTCTGCAGCAGACATACAATGCAGTATGGCGAGCAATATGTTTAGAACATCAAATCGCAATAAATTAACAGTATCAAATCGCAATACATATTGTATTGGCACCAAAGTATCGTGATAATATCGTATCGTGAGGTCCCTGGCAATTCCCAGCCCTGGTAGGTAGGTATCAGTAAGAGCCAGTAGAGATGACATTAACTGGAGAGAGAGAGAGAGACAGAGAAAGAGAGAAAGAAAGAGAAAGAAAGAAAGAAAGAAAGAAAGAAAGAAAGAAAGAAAGAAAGAAAGAAAGAAAGAAAGAAAGAAAGAAAGAAAGAAAGAAAGAAAGAAAGAAAGAAAGAAAGAGGTTGTCCAGAATGTTTTCACAGTCTTGCTTTGACCACCAGACGGCAGAAAACAGTTATGAGCTGAACATAACAGTATGTCAGTGGAAGGAAGGACATTAGCAGGTGACCCAACTGTGGTTTGTGACTACTATGATTTCCCATTGTAGCCAATTCAATTGCAGTAATTCCATTACAGATTTTTCGGTAATTCCGTTGGTCGGTCTACCTTTACTTGTTACTTTTGTGAACTTTTATCTAAAAGATGTGGGTTTTTGGTAACGGAATTAAAACCCACTGGGCAAAAGTTGGTTTAATCAACGTTGTTTCCATGTCATTTATTTAAGTGATGACATTGAATCAGCGTCGAAAACTGATTGGATTTGCAAAAAGTTATTACCGTTTTGCCTTTTTTTAACCCAACTTTTAACCTACATTTTTGTTGAATTCACGTTAGTTGACAACTCAACAAAATGTAAATACAAATTACACGTTGAACTGACATCTGTGCCCAGTGGGAAGTCACAAGGCAATGTTATTAAACGTACAGAAGGCAAATCATTTCTCCAAAACTAAATATAAGTGTTGATATTAGTTGGCAGGGGTCTTATTTCAACATTATTGTGTTTTGATGTATTTCTAATACTTCTTAGGACTTTTTCTGGTAGATGTTGTCTAAGAACCCTTTTTCCTCTGCTTGACCAGAAATCAAAACCTTTGCTTATTCCACATTTTTAGGATGGAAAATGGTTGAAGAATGTATATATGCCTTAATTTCTCAAAAACATAGACTCTTAGCTTTCATCTGACACCCAATTTGACATGCTTCTATGAACTTCACATGTTGGTGCTCATGGGTCCTTTTAGATGGAAATGCCCAGGAGTAGATCACTGACAACTTGTTTCTAAACCAAAATAATATATACAGTAATATCTGTGTGTAATGTCCAGGCATTTCGGAGGGTCAGAAAGAGCATCTAACACTGTTTCTTAGCTTGGGGGGAACCACAGTAAAGAAAATAAAACTGCTACATTAATAATACCATACTAAATAATACAGACACATTAATAATACCATACTAAATAATACTGACATTAATAATACCATACTAAATAATACTGACATTAATAATATCATACTAAATAATACTGCTACATTAATAATATCATACTAAATAATACTGCTACATTAATAATATCATACTAAATAATACTGCTACATTAATAATATCATACTAAATAATACTGACATTAATAATATCATACTAAATAATACTGCTACATTAATAATATCATACTAAATAATACTGCTACATTAATAATATCATACTAAATAATACTGACATTAATAATATTATACTAAATGGTTATAATATATAGAAGGATGGTTATACTAGTAGTCCATCATCATAAACAGTACAGTACTGATATACAGCTTTGATTTAGAAGAGGAATATGACAGAAACACCACTAAGGGATTATTGTTCTATTGTTCAGTTGTTGTTGTCATAGGAAAGAAGGTTGTTCTTCAAATGTTCTATTTTTACTAACCTGTAACATAGGGTTTCTTAAACTATGGGCCTGGGCATGTCAGAGGTCATGAGAATACATCTATTATCACACACTATGTATTATTAATTTGGGTTGTTGTAGGACGATTTGGGTCACAGGAGGACCGTCAATTTCTTATTTGGGTTTGGAGCTGAAAAAGTTTAAAGGGTAGCAAGCATGAGTTTTTACTTACCACAGCACGGCCAAAGACTTAGTAACGTAGTTGTAGTCCCGATCTGGTTACCTAGAACTACAAACATAGTTATGTTTTTGGGTTATTACATATTTATTAACTTACTTCTGGATAACTTCTAAACTACCCACAATTTCTCAACGTCATATGGAGGATGTACTCTGTGCTACCGAGTTCAGCCAAGCTGGCTAACGTTAGCCACACCTCATGCTATTCACGGACTTTGTGGCTGTGCAGTGGTGTAAAGTACTTAAGTAAAAGTACTTTAAAGTACTACTTAAGTATTTTGGGGGGGTTATCTGTACTTTACTATTTATATTTTTGACAAATTTTACTTCACTACATTCCTAAAGAAAATAATGTACTTTTTACATTTTCTCTGACACCCAAAAGTATTTGTTACATTTTGAATGCTTAGCAAGACAGGAAAATGGTACAATTCACACAGTTCACAAGTTTTGCAACTTTTCCAACATTGGCTTAGTGCTAGCGCGCTAGCTGACTGACATCTGAAATCCAACTAGTTTGGATTTCGGCCCGCCTCCCCCTCGCTTTGGTAGCTAACTCAGCCTGCACTCTTTTAAAAGTGTTTGCATCGGATGGGCCCCAACCATCAATCTGTAAGTATCTGCTTTCTCTTTGCTTTTAATCTGCGGTTATGTTTTAGTTGTGTTAGTTGTGTTCTAGCTGGACTCCAGTAGGAGGGCTCTAGCTTGCCGACCGTAACTGTGGTGGTTGGATAGGCTGGCTAGGCTAATAGCTAGTTGGCTAAATAGCTAACGTTAGCTGGCTGGTTAGCTTGCTGGCGAAGATAACTGCATATAGCGAACATTCATTGATAACTGGTTGTATGGTGTTATATATTTCCAAGACTTTGGTTTACTTTAAATGAAGCTGTAAGCTAGGTGTTGATAGCATCTGACTGACTCATGCACTGCTAACGTAATAAGGCTACCATTAGCAGGCTAGTAGGGCTAATGTTAGCAGGTAGCAACCTTGCAAGTTGATTTGTAAAAATAAATTCATAAAGTATTTGCTTGTAAGTTGGCTGAAAGTAATTGAAACCAGTAGTCATGAGTGCCAACGATTTGGTTTAATTTGAAGTTATACACCTGAAGATATTATTTTTGGAGTTTACATTTTAGGGAATAGGTTTGCTTGCAGGGTCCTCCATATTACATCACACTCTGGAAAAACATTTTCCGACATGACTTCGGCATTCTTCGGAAATTCTGATCGGTTTTATGTCATAACTCCAAAAATAGAAAAGTGAGGTGTAACTTTGCATGGGAACTTTTCATGTGTAATACTAATGCAAATCCACATGTTACATGTGGTTCCGTTTATGTTACCTACCCTTTAAGAACCCTTGATGTTACACCATCAAATCTCTATTTGATCCATTGTAGACTTCCTGTAGCTCAGTTGGTAGAGCATGGCACTTGCAACGCCAGGGTTGTGGGTTCGATTCCCACGGGGGGCCAGTATGAAAAATGTATGCACTCGCTAACTGTAAGTCGCTCTGGATAAGAGCGTCTGCTAAAATGTAAATGTAAAAACTGTATGACATGAGGTGAATGGTGTCTGATTAAAACGACTGTAGGGGGCGTGTCCATATCGAGTGGCTGCACTCCTCAGAAGTGGGCGTTAACAGAAGAGAGGTTCACAGCAATTTAGAAATGAGAAAAAGATGCCTTTATCTTTCGTTAATAATTATTTAATTCATTAATATATATTGTAAAACGGGGTAAATAGATAGGCAACTGTTAAAGCATTCTCTTAGATAAAGAAAAGCCTATTGATTGACTCATTGTTTATCAAAGACAACCCTGTGCAAATAAGTTTTGGGGAAATACGGCAAGCCTACTGTAAATAAAACAATAAAGTGGAAATAACAACATACTAACGTGTGTTGGCAATCAATTTACCAAATAAAACATCGGCGTATGTGATGCGTTTCCTTTTCCCTTTATCATCATTCTCTGTTCCTGTCAATGATGTCAGCTAGGAACTAATATTTCGATTTAGAAATGGACCATGTGCCTCGATCATATTTCCACTATTATTATTATTATTATTATTATTATTATTATTATTATTATGATCTCTTTCTCTGAAAGAATGTGACCATCGTAAACACCAATAGCGCCCACTGTGCAGCAGTAGAGTCCAGGGAATAGGCTACCAGAGCCAAAATGTGCCATGAAAAATACACACCGAGCTCATGGCGTACTACTCATTGTTTACGTTTAATCTCTGCTTCCTCAGCCTTCGTAAATAGCCTACATAAACCAGTAGGCCTAGATGAGAGCGCAAATTCGATAAACTATATCTGGAAGTTATCATGAAACCCACACAACGCAGTACTCACAGTTTCGAGAAGGTATTCGCGTCAGATTCTTCTTTTGCCATCAGATGCAGGCCGCCATATTCAGTGCTCTACACTACGCGCATGTCCAACAGCGAGCTGCAATTTATATTTTCCACTGTAGGTTTTATAATAAGGGGCATTTATTCATTGATTCGATCAAATACAGAATATCCTTCTGTGAAATGAACTATATTTACTAAATATATTTATAAGGAAACGAAACTACAATAGACTAGTGGTACTTTTTTGCATAGTAGAAGGAATTTACATTTATTATATAATATTCAAAATCTTAAATCTGAATAGAAAATATATACAACATATATACGAAATTGTTATGACAAACTTCTGTTATGGCAAAGGAGCTATATTAGCAGAGTGAGAGAGAGAGAGAGAGAGAGAGAGAAATAGAGAGTGAGAGAGAGCGAGAGAAAGGGTCTACTATTTTGTCACATAGTTTATTATAAAATTAACTACGAATAGATAGAAACCTATAGCATATTTTACTTGGCTCATTAGCATGAATTATGAATAGAATAGAATAGAAACAATTGAATAGAATAGAAAGCCCCGAAAGGAGATGCCACAGGTAGCCTAATGGTTTCAGACTGTTTTGGGCTTTGTTAACTCTTTTCCATAGACTGAACCTTGCAATAATTACAGACAAATAATTTTGAGATCGTTTTAATGTTAAATTCTTTCCTGATTTCACCTTTACTTGCATTTCAACTAATTAGGTGACAGAAGAAACCATCATACCGTCATAACATAGCATTATGAACAGTAAATAACTAGCCTAAGTTAAATAATAGAATATAATAGAATAGAATTGAATATAATTGAATTGAATTGAATAGCCTGCATGGCTCTAAGACTTTCAGCACTGTCAAAGCAGGACCGACGGTCACTAGAGAGACAGCGCGAACGTAAATAGAATCCCGCCTCTTGGACAATATTCTCCACTTACTCTACCCTCATAGGTTAAGAGAAACAGGGTTTAGGTGAAATGACCCTTCTCGCCTTTCTATTGGTCTAAACTGACGCCAGTCAGAAGGATGCCGTTGCTGCTATAACCAGCAGTAGGCTGAGTATGGAGCACGGTGCAGGTTAATATTAGTTACTGTTGAGGCTAGCTGCACCCGACACACCGTGATAGGATGATGCAGGTGGAATCGTTTTATCCGTTTCAAAGATCTGACTGAGTGAGTATTGGATCGTTTAACCGTTTAACTGTGTTTTTCGTAGTATGCTGTTCTGTTCTGTCTCCACCATCACCACCACATCATCATTTTCATGGACATGGTGTTATTCAGTCAGTGCAGATCGAGTTTTTTTTTCATAGACTGCACAGGCAGGGGCAGGCATAGCCTACAGTCAACCTGATGACAATTATAATAGCTTATTATCCAGATCTCCTTCAGTCATTCTATTATATCACAGACATAACATCTCATTTGTAATGAGAATGGAATCAGGTTTTGGTAAAGCCGTTTGTTGGTAGACATCGTGATCGATACATGACATAGCCTACATAGGCTGCCTACATTACATGGTGATGCAGGAGGAAGAGTATGTGGGAGGCAGACAGAGCAGGCTATTGGAATGGTGTTTTGCTTTGCTTTAGCGTCGCTGCGATTTAGAGACGCAGTTTCATCGCACTCCAGAAATCAATACTCTCTTCTAGTATAAAGAATATATAGAGCAGAGATATAATCATAATAGAGATATAGGCGATGAGATAGAGAGATACGCGAAGCTAGGTAGCTGAGAGAGAGCGAGAGAAGAGAGACATCTATGGAGATCGGAGCGCTCGAGAGAGGCAGATCTCCTCTCTCTCTCTCTCTCTCTCTCTCTCTCTCTCTCTCTCTCTCTCTCTCTGTCTCTCTCTCTGTCTCTCTCTCTGTCTCTCACTCTGTCACACCAACGCACGCACACACACACACACACACACACACACACACACACACACACACACACACACACACACACACACACACACACACACACACACACACACACACACTGAAAGCGAGAGTAATCAACCAACTTTCATAATGAGGGCTAGCCTACAAAATAACACACACAGGCACAATCCATCATTCATCATTTCAAGTTCTGAACCTGTGGGATGTAGCAACCCCAGAATAGCAACAGGGACTACTTTTTATCTGTTCATTTGCCGGTTGTCAGACCTAGTCTGGGGTATTTACTACAACGTAGCAGTTGTAGATGTTGAGCTTTTGGGAACCACTGCCTCTGTCTTCTAGGTTAGTCCACAGATAGAACAATGATGTTTCACCAGATGTATACATCTGAAGCATCCGGTTGGCGTTTCCACTCACCACCAAATATGGTAGTGACAGGAAACCCAGTGGCCGGCAGTGGGAGAAGATTGAACGAGATGGATTTTGGCCACGTTCTGGAGGGAGTGATGGAGGGAGAGATGGAAGGAGGGATGAGGGATGGAGGGAGGGAGTGATGGAGGGAGTGATGGAAGGAGTGATGGAGGGAGGGATGGAAGGAGTGATGGAGGGAGGGATGGAGGGAGGGAGTGATGGAGGGAGTGATGGAAGGAGTGATGGAGGGAGGGATGGAAGGAGTGATGGAGGGAGGGATGGAGGGAGGGATGGAAGGAGGGATGGAGGGAGGGATGGAAGGAGTGATGGAGGGAGTGATGGAAGGAGTGATGGAGGCAGTGATGGAGGGAGTGAGACAACAATGTGCAGAGTATTTTCAACTACAGTTCTACATTTTTTATGTGTTTTTTTCTCCTTCATGTGTTTTCTGTGTGGGGGCGTTTTCCTAAGTGCAGAACATACCTCTAAGGGAAATGGTTGGGGTCATCTGCTGTTTTTAGACTCATGTTCCTTCTTAACTATGTGGAGGTCCTGCCTATGGGAGAGTTGATTACAGAGTATTTATCTGCAACACATGATGTAGAGTACACTGACTGTGCAGTTATTGCCAATGCTATTTTAGTGGAATAGTTAACCTATAACATATTGCCGGCCAAGCGGTCCAGGAATCACCAACATTTGGAAATATGCACTGATTATCCACGTCCTTTTCGTAATGATATTTATAGCATTCATTTCATTCCTTATTTTAACTGTGATTCCCCTCACATACTCTAGACATTAGGTCGTTGTAGGACCCAGGTTCGGGAGTGCAGTGTCTGTGATTACAAAGTCCCAGTCTTTCATGGTCCTATGTATTTCATGGTCCTATCTAATGACTGCATCAAATCTATGTTACGGTTTTATCATGTACATATATCATATGCATCGTTTCGACTTTACCATTTCAAAGGTTAGCGTTTCCATCCATGCTGTTTTCTTCAGTATTTCTCTAATGTCTTCCTTCAGGGGAGATGGAGTGATGGAGGGAGTGATGGAGGGAGTGATGGAGGGAGGGATGGAGGGAGTGATTGGAGGGAGGGATGGAGGGAGGGCATGGAGGGAGGGAGTGATGGAAGGAGACGTGATGGAGGGAGAGTGATGGAGGGAGGGATGGCGGGAGGGAGGGAGGGCAGGAGGGAGGAGAGGGAGGGATGGAGGGAGGGAGGGGAGGGGGGAGGGAGGGAGGGAGGAGGGAGGGAGTGCTGGAGAGAGATGGAGGGAGTGATGGAGGGAGGGATGGAGGGAGGGATGAGGGGAGGGATGATGGAAGGACGTGATGGAGGGAGTAGTGATGGAGGAGGGATGGAGGGAGGGATGGAGGGAGGGGGGGGAGGGATGAGGGCGGGAGTGATGGAGGAGTGATGGAGGGAGGGATGGAAGGAGTTGATGGAGGGGAGTGAGGAGGGAGGGAGGGAGGGAGGGATGGGAGGGAGGGAGAGGGAGGGTGGTAGTGATGGAAGGAGGATGGAGGGAGTGATGGAGGGAGGAGGAGGGATGAGGGGGAGGGAGGTGATGGAAGGAGGGATGGAGGGAGTGATGGAGGGAGGGATGAGGGAGGGATGGGAGGGATGGAGGGAGGAGGAGGGAGGATGAGGAGGAGAGGATGGAGGGAGTGATGGAAGGAGGGATGGAGGGGTAGGGATGGGGAGTGGAGGAGAGGAGGAGGATGAGGAGAGGATGAGGAGGAGAGGAGGGATGGAGGGAGGGATGGAGGAGGAGGAGGAGTGATGGAGGGAGGGTGGAGGGAGGGAGGGATGGAGGAGGGATGGAGGGAGTGATGGAGGGAGGAGGGGATGGAGGGAGGGAGGGAGGAGGGGGAGGAGGGAGGGAGGAGGGAGGGATGGAGGGAGGAGGTGATGGAGGGAGGGAGGATAGGAGGAGGAAGGAGGTGGAGGGAGTGATGGAGGGAGGGATGGAGGGGAGGAGGGGAGGGTGGGGAGGATGGAGGAGGATGGAGGAGTGATGGAGGAGGGATGGAGGAGGGATGGAGGGAGGATGGATGGGATGAGGAGTGATGGAAGGAGAGGGATGGAGGGAGTGATGGAGGGAGGGATAGGAGGGAATGGAGGAGATGGAGTGGATGGAGGGATGGAGGAGTGATGGGGGATGGAGAGGGAGGGAAGGAGTGATGGAGGGGTGATGGAGGAGTGGATGGAGGGAGTGTATGGAGGGAGTGATGGAGGGAGGTGATGGAGAGGAGTGAGGAGGAAGAGTGATGGAAGGAGTGAGGAAGGAGTGAGGAGATGTGAGGAGGATGGAGGGTGATGGAGGAGTGATGGAAGGAAGGAGTGATGGGGAGGGAGTGATGGAAGGAGGGATGGAAGGAAGTGAGGAGTGTTTTGGAAAGTGATTGGAGGAAGGAGTGATGGAGGAGTGATGAAGGGAGTGATGGAGGTGTGAGGTGCATGAGGAGTTGTGGTATAGGTGTATGTGATGGATGTTGATGTGAGTGATGGTGTGTGTGTGTGTGTGTGTGTCACTAGCTGTCACACAGGCAGCAGAAAGGCATGACCTTAGCTGGGACCTCCAGCTGATCTGCACTGTGTGACCTCACACTTTCTCTATTTTCCCTCTGCTTTTTTCAGGTGAGAGTGTGTGGGGTGTGTGGGTGTGAGATAGAGAGACTGCAAGATAAATGATGTTTGAGGAAGAGAGAGATTTGTGAGTGAAA